CATACCGAGTTTAATGTAGGTTTACCACAGTTATAAAATACCGAACAGATGTTGAAAAACACTACAAAAGTCAGTCTTTAGTAAGGAAAATCCATGTGCAGCTGAGTAGGAAGTCCTCATGGCCTTTAGGGAGAGTGACAGGAACTCCTGAAGAGTGTAAAAATAACTGAATAATACCAAGTTTGTCCTGCTTTTAGGCCTGAATTCGTGTGAAATGGTGACCTGAGCTTTATGTAAAGCATGCCAAGCAGTGAACCACCTGAGCAGCGCTCTGCTGAGCTACTTTCTGTGTTGCTAGTCAGATCATCAAAAATTACTGGAAAAAGAGGAGGTTTTATTGTTTTCCTGCTTACTGGTACAGAATTCAAAGCTATAAATTATTCATCTGCCAGTTTCAAGATGTAGATTGGAGCTTTTGTGGCTCAGTAGATATTGCATGTAATACAGGTTTTCTGCTGGTTAGGAAAAGCATGTAGTGAGCCCACAGTTGCTGCATCCAAAGGCTGCTTTGTCTGAGCAGGGAGCAGTCAGTGATCATAACTCAGCTCTTTAATAGATATGACAGTCTTAGAGAGGCAAGTACTTACAGCCTTCTCACCTGCAAAATCAATCCTTTAGATGCTAGGTTCAGCTGCCTGGGGACATCTAAAAAGGATGCTACTGGAAAAATGGCTGCTGAAGTGAAAATCTCTGTAACAGAGCACAACAGTATCCCCTTGTGTTTCTGGTGGTGAAGCAGCAGTATTGTGCATGTGCGTGTCATTTGAGGGAAATGAGAGAGTAGCACTGTGACCTACATAATCCAAATCAAACTGCATTTGCTATGAGAGATCAGGGCAGGGGGAATCAAATCCTGCAGATTAATCAGTCAGTAGAGCAGGCATCTGTAGAACTGCTTACTACCTTAATCTTTTTGGACACCCAGACTAACAGCCCAAATCCAGATTAACCTGGCCTCACTGTCTTAAATCAAAAGGGAGAAAACCCCCCTGGATAATCCATGTGTTGAATTTCTACTTTCAAAATGGCTGTTAAACTTTCGGGGTGTAGTTGCTCTCTGTTAAAATGGCAGACTTTTTGTTTTTAGTTGTTGTTGTTCCCAAAATAAATTGGCAGTGACTGTTCAAGTGGCGTATGGGAGTGGCAGCTGCAGTCAGTATGTTTCTTGGTAATCATGCAGGCTTGTAATCAGATTTGCATTTAGAAAGCAGAGTTCCTAAAGAATGGCATGAGGAATTTAAAATAAAATAAAATAAAATGGAAGGGGGACTGAAATAATGACTACTTTAAAGGATGTCATTTTCATTTAGAAATTGCACTAAGAGGTGTATGTTTAGAGAATGCTTTGGGAATTTTTCTTACCTGAAATTAGCTGAATACTAAATAGGCATCTACATTTAAATGAGTGAGGCATTTTTAGGGTGTGCTTCGTCTCATGTTAGAGTAGATGACTAGCTGAACTGACTTCCACCCCTTGTGCACACATGAAAGCTAATGGACACAGAAGAAACAAGTCCTCTTGTCCAGACGCAAGGAGGTGGCCAGGCAGCACAGGTGGAACACAGGTCATCGAGGGAGAAGATCTGGGTTCCTGGTCTGGCTCTGCTGGTGATGCACCTGACATGCTTTTCCTAAGCCTGGGCATGTGTATCCCACACAATGGGAAACCCCAGCAGACTGTAGGTGAGGCGATATATTTGCCTAGGGTAGGACAGTGACAGCCGGTCCTTTGACAGAGCCACTTTGCACAGCTTCACACAGGGCTGCTTTGTATGACAACATAGATTTTGTTCTCTGTTTTGTGCCACAGGGATTACGATTTTCCTACAGAAATGTTGTAATGCACTGTTAAAGCTAAGATTTTCTGAGAGCGGAAGGACTGCTATTGGAGGGATGCAGAAAGGAAGAAAAAGCTAGACAGTGCCCTAGTTTTAACTGTGTTATGTGGAAAACAGAGCATTGTTTTCCTGGTACGGTCTATCTTTCTAAGTGTAGCTTTTCAGAAAGGTATTATGGACCTGGTATTTAGAGAGAAAAGGATGCACTGTGCTTTATGCTCTTCCATAGCTGGCTTTGAAACTGTTCAAAGAAGCAGCAGGCATGCTTGCTGGGGAGGGGGGGGAGTCCTTCATCTTGTGCTACAAAGATAAATTGCTTTATCACAGGTCTCAAGCTCAGCAAAGCATCCAGAGGTATAGACCTTAGGCATATACTTATTTTTATTTGTAGTGCAGTCATTGTCAAAGCCACATGGGAGTTTCAATGTATTAAAATGCTAGATTTCTGACATGACTTTCAGAAGTGGGCAAGAATGCAGTAGTGCTAATAAATTCTCATGTCCTTTATTTTCCACAGCAAGAACTTATTGACAGCATTAGTAGGAAGCTGCAGGTGCTGAGGGAAGCACGGGAGACACTTCTGGAAGACATCCAAGCAAACAATATACTGGGGGAGGAGGTAGAGGCCATTGTGAAAGAAGTCTGCAAACCAAATGAGTTCGACAAATTCAAGATGTTTATCGGCGACCTTGACAAAGTGGTCAACCTCCTGCTGTCACTGTCAGGTCGTCTGGCCCGGGTAGAAAATGCCCTCAATAACCTGGATGAAAATACCTCTGCGGAAGAACGGGTGAGAAAGGCCAATAAGAATATTAGTGGACCTGTTGTGGGAGGCTTTTCTTGGTTTTGTTTATCTAAATTGGAGAGCTCAAGATGAGAGATAGAGAATAGATAAATCTCATAAAGCCGTTTGCTTTAGATTTCTTAGAACTTTTCTCTTTGCCTTGCTGCTTTTGCTTGAAATACTAGAACTACAAGTGGCTTGCCAAGAAAAAGTGGTGTTTTGGGGTTAAACATACTGGAAAACAGACTTTGTAGTGAAAGCTTAAAGAAAGAAGGGAACTACTGATAGGAGCATAAAAAGGAGGCAAACAAAAGTAACAATTCAGGATGGGGAAAAGAGTGTCACTTTGCTGTAAGGCAGAAAGCTTCTTTATACTCAACAAGTATCTTGATAAAGGATACAGACAAAAATCTGTAAGGTTGTTGGATAATATTTGTCCTATACTACAGCTTCCTCCACAATGCCTAGCGAGGAACAAGAGCAAGAAATGACAAAAGGACAAGTCTTTTTAAAAGAGGGAGGAGCAGGAGGGAGGCACTGCAAAAAGAATTTTTCAATAGAGAACACATTTCACCCGGAGCAGAATAGCCCAGTAGTGATGTGGAAGAATCACAGCAGATGTGAAAATTTCAGGAGCATTCAAGGTGCTCTTACCTACTGGATTCCACCTCTGCTGGCACCATTTTGTTTAACTCCAAATCTAATCAGGTCTCAACTGGGCAGGAGATATCTAGCAATACAGATATGCACCAAAGGGAGAGATGCAGACATGTGTGAAACTTAAAAGCTAAAAGCTAAAATAAATAGAGAGGGTGGGGAGCAAGTATCTGTCAAGTGAGTGTAGCTTCTACAGTTAAATGAACATGAAGTGGGATTTTTGGCTTGTAGATGTGGACTGAAATGGCAGCAACCCACCTAAGTGTTGTAACAGAATTCTTCCACTGGCCTGTGGATTCACGTCGTGTTTCTTCGGCATGCTCCGTTCTTTCACCAATAGGAACCAGTTAAGTGCTGGGACTGGTCTGAAGCTGTAATTTTGCTATTTGGCCCTAGCTGCTGCCAGACATACTTTAATGGCTGTCCAGACCCCTCTCTGACTGAGGGGAGGGGAAGGTATTTGACAGCTTATTAGAGGGCAGATCAAAGCTTCTGAAACTTAAAGAAATTTAATCCTTCTTCAGACTCCTTTTTTCTAAATATGGTTGCAGTTGCCTAATGGGCTCAAAGATGGGAGTGTGAGCTGGGGAAAGAGCTACCAGATGATGTGAGCGTATAGGAAGCAGTTTGGAATCTGTGTTAAAAATAGCTTATTGGCTAGGTGTGGAAAAGGAAGAAGGTGAGTAGGTGGTGTGTAGTAAGGGTAGTTAGGAATTCTCTGTGTGCTCTGCTGTCAAATTTAGACTGGCAGAAATCCGAATCCCTGACATATTTTAATCCCCATTCATCTCATGCACTGGCGCCAAAGTCTTGCCATAGTAACATCAGAAATATATCTAAAAGTGTCAGTCAGAGATGCTGAACCCAGGACACAGATGGATCAAGTCCCCAGGTAATTCAACTATAAATACAACGCATGTAGGGTTGCATGTGCATGGCTTTGAATTTTGGTTGTCATTTGGTATTTTGTAGGTCACATGATGATGTTGGTAGACTACTAATGTACCATATATACAAAACAGATTACCTCAGTCCCTGGGGATCATATCTCTAATCACTGATCTTATTTATTTATTTATTTATTTTTAGCTGATGCTCTCTAATAAACCACTCTGATAGTTTTTCCACTTTCTAGGAACCACCAACAGCTCAGCAGACTTTCTAAACAAACAGTCTGTCAGCAGGCGAATCATCATGACTGGATTAATTCTGACTGTTAGATGCTCTGTCATAGGTCTCTCTAGCCACAAGTAACAGTATCAGGTATTTCAGCTTCAGTTTCTGAAGGTGCTTCATCTGAAATAGCTACCAGCCCCCTTCCTTCCGTGCAGTGCAACCAGTGTCTTCTCATTACTTTCCTTATTAGTCAAAGCCAGAGTTTGCTGAGAACCCTGAAGCACTGACCCAGCAGTCCACAGATATGATCAGGTGCCTATACACACAAGACCTGCTATTGCAAGACTAGGGACAAGTACCAGGGGTAGTAGTTTAAGAACTGGATGCTGAGAGGTCAAATATATGGAGAGAATTCATCTTCATATGGCTGTGGTTCCAAACAGAGAAAAAACTCCTCAACAGAAAGAGCCAAAGATTGTTTCATCAGCAGATCTTCAGGTGTCCTCAGTTTCACTAGGTCTTCAGAGCAATGCTAACTGCAGAAGACCCTTCTGCACTCTGCTTGGTTGAAGACTGACAGATGAAACCATCTAACATCATTGATGCCTTTAGGCTTGCTGAGCCATTTACACGTTGCTCAAAGAACCACCTCAAGAATGGTGTCTCGAGCCTGCTACAGTGTATTTCACTTGACCCTTCAAAACAGGCTTTCTGGTGTCAATCATCTTTGACTGAGATAAAAGCAAATTCATTTGGTAAAAGCAAATTCACCTTCTTCCTCTCTGCATACCACTTCTCTTAGGCTTTCGGTAAGCCTCTGCAGGGGCAGAGGTACTAAGATTGTCATTCAAAGTTCATAAAAGTAGTGTTTGCTTTCCTTAAACTGTCAGGTTACTCGTGTTCATCTTAGTCATGCCATAGGCTTGGTAAGAAGAAACCATACAACTTAAATCTCAGGAATTGTTACGAAGGACTAAACGTCTGATTGTTCTTGTGTCTGTTGACAGTAATAGCAAGTGGCTTGAAAACCAGAGCTATTTCATCCCAAGCTTATGCGGGTAACACTACAACTGAGCTACCAGCAGTTGGATACATGACCTCCTGTGTTCATCAGATTCTGCCTAATTCTGCTGCTGCTGCTCAGTGTGCACACAAGTGGCAGGGCTGCCCTGGAGAGCAGTGTAGCCATTCTTTTAAATTTGGACTTGGCTCCTAGTTCCCCCGGTGAACTTGGGAAACGAGTACTTCTATCTCTGCCACAGATAGTTCTGCTTGTAAGTTGCAGTGGGGTTTTTTTCCTGGCATAAGCTTGAAGGAAGATTAAACTGTAGTTTATCTAATAATGTGTGATTTCTGTGACTTGTCTTCCATAGCTGTCTTGCATCCTGAGTTCATCTAGGCAGTGTGTTTTAAGTACGTTGAGAGCACGAGTCTGAAAGCGTGTCACCCTCTGAGCTTTGCGCTGTCTGTGAAAAAGAGGCAGGACGTGTGCAACTCTGAGCAGAGCCTATCTAACTCTGGCAGATAGGTCTGTTAAAGCTCGCTGGTCTGCATCCCCATTTGTCTCATACTTCCATCTTGAAAAGACTATTCTGCAGTCTACAGAAGCACTTTTCTGTAAATCCTTTGGGCTTATTGTAGCATGTGGGATTTAACATGAAGCTCGAATGAAAAAAAGGGACACAGTTATTTGAACAGACTGGTTTATTTGAAGACATAGTTTCTCAAAGAAAATTCATTTCTGAAGCAAAGCTAAAAGTAATGGAGTGGTACCTCTTAGGGGCACTTTTTAATTAAGTTCAGAAGTCTGTACAGGAATTCTTCATGTCAGAGTAGGCCAGTCATACTCTGTTGCTGGAAAAAGGCAGTCACTTCTAGGCAGACGTCTGAAATAGGTCAGATTAATAATGCTCCTGTTTCTTTCCATATTCTGCTGGGGAAATGCAGCTGAGTGGTTCAGGTGTGGCTGTCAACTGTATAGACCTGTGAAGCTGAGTGAAATGAACCTCACCTTATTGCTCATGCGTATGTGTGAATGGGATATAGCTCCTGTCCTCTTCCATTGTGTGAATCTCCATTCAACCCTCCTTTTTCTTACTTCGTCTCTTGTCAAGGCACAAAGCAGAAAGTTTACAGCCCTTTTGGGAAGATAATGTTTTTTTTTAGTTCCCTCCTGTTGTCTTGCCCCGGCTCTTGCTCATGTCTTAAGACCACACGACTTTGCATTTCATGGAGAAGCCATGCGGATTGCAGCAGAACAGCAAAATGCCACAGTGTCAGGAGCTGTGTAAGAAGAAATTGCTTTCTTAATTAGTCTTTCTGGGTTCTCTAAGCACAGCTGTTTCAGTGTAGAAGTTCGGTGCTGTGTACTGAAGATGTAAGATGTTGCTGAGTGAAGTCTTAATTTGGAGAACTTGGATGTTTCTCAAAGGCAGCTGTACTTTATATAGCTATTTTAAACTGTTAAATAGTAAAGTAGTCTTTGAAGTTCTTGTGGTTGAGGCCAATAGAAATTAATGGTGCATCTTTCATTGATTCATTACATGTTTTTTCTGTTTGTGAATGCATTTTATTAGAATAAACTTTAAGGAACAACCTTATTCTACCTCTCAGGAAGGTCTTTTTCTTTGCAGATAAAACAGACTTGAGTCTTAAACACTGAAGCTGTTGTCCCAGCCTGGTGAACCTGATGAAATTTTAACTGTTTTTCTTTTCTCCTAAGCGGACACTGGTAGAGAAGCAGAAGCTGCTGACCCAGCAACACGAAGATGCAAAGGAACTGAAGGAGAACCTGGATCGTCGAGAGCGCATTGTCTTTGACATTTTGGCAAACTACTTGAGTGAGGAGAACTTAGCAGACTATGAGCACTTTGTAAAAATGAAGTCAGCCCTCATCATTGAGCAGCGAGAGCTTGAGGACAAGATCAAGCTGGGGGAAGAGCAGCTGAAGTGTCTGACTGATAGCCTCCAACCTGAACGACTCAAATGAGAGGACTGAGTTTGACCAAGGATGTGAAAAATGAGAAGAAGGAAGGGATGGGGGGGACTTTCAAGGATACAAATTAGTATCTTGGCTTGTCTGAGTGTCCAGTAGAGAAACAAGTACACAAGAGAATGATAGCTCTCACAACAGCAATAATGCTCTCTTTCATTTTTTTGGGATGATGTATTTAATTTTTTAGAACACATTTTTACTGCTGGACTCTACAGCTGTTTCTCATCGCTTAACTTACAGAAGGCTCCACAGGAAAGGATAGACTCTTAACCTTTCTGCTTAGTAAGTTGAAAGTCTGTGGCAGTTGTGCATGCAAACGATGTTTTTAGAATAGGGTGTATACTTTCTTTATGTTCAGATGCTGTACAGACTGCTGGGAAACCCAACAGCAATTTATGAATGCACACAAATTTAGAAGTTCTAAATTGAGTGGCTTTTTATGTTTGTTTTTTAAAGACACATTGAATAGGGGAAGCGTGCATCTTATAGCTAATATATTCAGATTGCTGAAATGTAGTGTCACTCTGATCCTGTGGCATCAGATGCTTTTTTGTACTATTGTATATAGGATGGCACTTTCCCCTTGCAGAAAATAATTTTAAAATCAGTCTCAGTTAAACACTTGTTAAACCAGCTTGCAGATCACCTAATGGCTGCCTTGCTGCACATTTTTGTAAACATTATTTTGCAAAACATGTTTGTACACCTTCTAACTGCAATGCAAGTGATTTTCTTTACCAAGTTGTAGTTGATTTAAGAAACAGGCTGGAAGTACTGTGCTGATTTTGTTCAAAACATTTCTTATCTAAATTATTTAGAAGGCTCACTTGCTCTTTCTTGTGCTTTTTATGCATGTGTTCATACTTCTTCCCCCAAACTGACTACACTTTATGAAAATAAATGTAGGCTAAGGACACTGCTTCTCTTTTTCTTCTGATTGCTCAAAATTGTGATGGTTTTATATAGACAGTTAAGTTATATTGAAGTTGACCTACATAATGTTCATTCTTTCCACTTTCTCAGACTACCAAATGCAATATAAACACTTCTGCCATGTAAATACCATGCACTGCTCGGAGCAGTTCTGCTTTGTAACTGTGAACGTAAGTGGGGTTTGTTTGTTGTTTGTTTCCATTGCACAATGATAAATGAAACAATGCTAGTTCACAGTATCAGATCACTGGTTGTGTTCTCTATTACTGCCATTGACTTGTAACAGATGATTTCCAGTAGCTCTAAAAAGAGGTGCTAACTCATGATTTAGCGCGGTAATAGGTTGCGCTGGGTTGCTCAGATACGTACAGAGAAATTCTGTAGTGTCTAAATGTCAAGTTCTTTGTTAAGGTAAAGTTTTGCAGGCAAAGAAAAGTCTTGGATGACTTTGTGTATATGCCATTTCCATTGTAGAACAGAAAATGTTTCTCTCTCCACAGACAAACAGGTTGCCCAACAAGAAGCCATTTTTAAGGCTGATGTGAATGCCAGTCTGTAGCAAAGCAGGTTGAAAACACACGTAGTTAGGTGTTGAGAGAGAGTAAAGAGTTCCTCCCACTATTCCTGAAGTGGCAGCGTTCACTAAAAGGTTTTCCATAGTTCTTACCCCAGTCCTCTCTTGTGAGGAGAGAACCGGAGAAACAGTGATCAGCGAATTCCTTGTGAGTTGGGGAATTGGGGAGCAAAAATCTTCTGGAACCTGTTCCCGTACAGACAGGTGCAAACGTTAAAAGGACTGCTGCCCCCCTTACAGTGCACTACTTTGTATACCTGGACCAAATCTTTAAAGAAATGATGTCGATGCATATCAGTTGAGGTCAGATGGAGCTACCATTTTACAAGGCCTGCAGCTGACCTTAGTTTCTTCCGCCTAGTTCAGAAATGTAGTCTTCTGGCATCTCACAGTTATATGCTGCTATGTTCCTAGGACAAGTGATCCCTTTGTCCTTAAACTTATCCCTTAACCATAACAAACCCAAAACTAAACAATTCCCAAATAAATTATGCTTGTCTTTTAGCTTGGAGAAAAAGTGTGCATTGTTTTATCTGTGGCATTTTAAAGAATTTTACATATTGTGGTTACTCTGAAATGTGTATGTGAAATGTGAATAATAATATAATTACCATGTGTTTGTATACAGTACTTTGATTTAGCTCTTTCTGATAAAAGGTAGCAATATTGTGAAAGCTATATATATATATATTATCCTTCTCACAGAACAGTTGAGTAGACACCATTCTCTCTTTTTTAAAACTGTTGAAAATCTCTCACCCTGTGAACCTGAAGACAGTTGCCTCCCAATGTTATATGTAAATCTGTAAATAGCTATAGTGTTGCTTCTTGAAAAAATCGGGTGCTATCTTTTGCCTTTGACATCCTGGGGATGGCTGTTTCTTCATACTATGTTGTTGTCAGCTCTAGATCCCTTTGTATAGTGTAAGGTTTCCACAATGTTTCTCCAGCTGTTTGGATCCTGCAGCCCAGAGTGAAAATGTACAGTTTTCCTGCCTGACACTTAAACACTCACCTACTGACAAATGGTATTGCTTGACTTTGAGAAAATAAACTGTATATTTCAACGCAGAGTTAGTTTCTGTGTGCGCTTTTAACGATCAAAACCTACTGTTTGCTATGTGGCATTGGCCATCTCGTGGTGTCTGTAGGTTGTAAAGGCCAGGCCAGTTATCTCGTGGTCTGGAGTAGTTTGCTGTCTTTTCACAGAGTATTTAACATGTTGACTAGTTGATCGTCCTCAGGTTCCCAGCGTAAGTAAGTACCAGAAATATGTTCATGTCCATTCAGTATTTTAAGTGAGTATGAGACAGCAGAAAGGAAGATTTGTTATGAGGTGGATAAAACAGATCAGTCTCTCACGATTTACGGAGTGTATACCTGGGAAGGAGTTAAGATTGTTCTGCTCGGGAATTGCACTGTTTTGGCTTCATCCTTTGTTTAGAAGGATACTTCATATGCACGTATCTAAAGTCAGTGGTTCTCAAGATTCTTTGCAAGAACAGGTCACTCTGAAATCTCCATCTGTAACAGACTTCGACAGATATTGTTCAATTTCAGTTCAATGGGGGCTCTCAGATTAACTGCAGAATTTTCTGCCTTATTGGGGCAGTGCTCAAGGCCAGGTTGGACAGGGCCTTGGGCAACATGGTCTAGTGTGAGGTGTCCCTGAGATGTTCCCAGTTGGAACTAAATGATCTTAATGTCCTTTCCAACCCTAACCATTGTGATTCTATGATTGGAAGCGTGAACAAATCTGTAGTAGAGGCAACCACAGATAATGTTTTATAGCTTGATAAATCATCCTGAAAATTAATTGTCTGTGAAGGTCTTTATCATAGAAACTGTCAGGGAGAAGGAAGCTAGGGAAGGAAAAATACTTGGGTATTTGTAGGATTTGTCTAAACTTCTGACAGTGTTTTTCACCCCTTTCTTCTCTCCCTCTGTATGTACGTGGACCCACCTCTTCGTGCCTGGTTTCCTGGCATTTGGTATAATCCAGGATGGCGACTGTAGGAGAATAACGGTTTAGGTTTTTTGTAAACTGTTTGAATTGACAAAAAAAGTTTTTCTTTAAACTGAAATTAGGTTCATTCTGGTTTGGGCTATTTCAGACCTTGAGATTTCAAAGGAGTCAGTTTTACAGTGTTCTTTTCTAATCAAGTGGTAGTGATTAATTTTGGTGCACTTAAGTGTATCAGTTTTTATAGCTGAAGTAATCTCTTGGCAATCCAGTAGCTAGCAAAGGCCTTAGGATAGGTGCACAATAGAACAGTAACTCCTCTTTTAATGGTGTCTCGTCACTTACTGCAGAAGTTCATAGGCTTGTTCTAATTAAGGGCTTCTCAGTTGTAGGGTGTTTTTTATAGGATAATTGGGTTTTCTACATACTTGGGTGGAACCTCCCCATAGAGTAGATGTCACAAAAATTAATAATGACATCTTTAAAGTACTGGATTATATATTGTCAATTGTCAGCAGTGGTCATTTGGTCATTGCATTGACTGACCGCAGTTCCAGGCTGTAACTTAACTAATTACAATGATCCACAATCTGTAAGGTGGGTTACCCGTGTGGTTTCAGAGCTCACCTCTGAAGTCCTGGGTTTCATTCTCCCTATGACTGTTTTTGATAATGTTTCCATGAGTAAAGCTGTTCCATTTGAAGTAGGTTAATTTAACTTAATACATCTCGGGAGAAAATCTGAATTGAAATAAATCCAGTGCAGTTTAAATAGCAGAAGGTAATTTGTCTCAGACTACAGCAGCACACCTACAAGCAGAACAGGTATTTTCTAGATGGGCTACATTTAGGACCTTTTCCTTCGTTGAACCCATGTGGGCAGATAGGCTGCTGTTTATTTTAGGCTGAGTTTTGTTTTAGTCAAAGCAGTTGGGCCTTTCCTGAGAACAAGGCTGGTAAGATGTTGGTTGGGTTTTTTTACTTCCTGTGTTAAATTAAAATCCTCACAACAGCTTCATTTTTAGGTGCTTTGGTATCTCTGTCTTGGAGGTAGTCTTCTAAATTTGGCAGGGGAGATGGCCTTGTGATTAGGCTGTGCCTTCCTCTCCTCCCAAGCATGTCAGCAGAGTCTGTTGCTATAGGTCTAGTTCTCACTTCTCTGGATGCAACAACCTGCTAACTGGTTAAAGTTAACAAAAACTTACTGCTTCCTGCTGCTTTTGAATGGCTGCTGTCACAGGTGGGTTACCAAGAACATCTGGACAACTGGTGTGGTGGTTTCTGGCATCTCTCCTGGGTTGAAGCGGGATGAGGAATTACGTGCATCTCCTGCTTGCTAGGGGTGAGTCTTTAACCTAAAATATAATAGTACCACTAAAGAACAACCAGATTGCCACTGCACATCCACTTCTATTGGAGTATTTTTATTTGCCATTTGTGATTGCCTGTCTTGACACAGGATAGATTTTAATCAAAGCAAGTAGACTTGTGGCGGTGGAGCTGAAGTACAAGGTGTTGAAAGATACAGAAGAATAATAATCTTTTCAGTAGAATAAATCTCCAGCAAAATAGTATCTAAATGAAGCCTGCATGCTACAAGTCACAGGTGAGAACACTGCAGGGTTCTAGATCTGTGTTCATACAGTTAAGTGGAGTTAGTGAAAGAAAGGCTTTTCTTAAGCACATCTTAAGTTGCAACTACATTAACACAAACTTCATTCATTCCAGGCAACTTCCATATGAGCCAGTATTAGCTGGGGAAAAACTGTGTTCCGACATGCTTTAGCAAGAGTTGGTAGCTTGCTGCTGGATTTTGTGATAGCATCACTTGCTACCCTCCCAATTGAGGAGCGTATTCTGTAAACCAGGTAAGGGATGTATAGTTACAAGAGTTTTAACAAAACATGATTTTGGTAGAGCTGGAAAGTCCAAAAGCCTGAGAGGAGCTAACAAAATCCTCCCCATGAGGCTTGCTTCAAGTGTTTAGTTTCAACATCTATTTCTCTTCCCAGCTGTCTACTCTCATAAAGTGTTTGTTACTGGGAAATTAGGCTTCTGTCTTTTCTAACAAACAGCCTCAGAGAAATACAAATACAGTGGG